ATTAATTATAATTACATTTAAAATATATATATATATATAATAATTAAATCTCTCATCTAAACAACAAATTGATTAACACATTGAAAAACAAGAAGATACTGAGATAAGACACCGAAATTTTAATTAATTTATGGATTCGAATGTTTGCAGATTGAAAAAGTTAATAAAATTGCAAAAACAATAAATATTAACAAGTTTTAGTAAATCTTGATAATTTTTGAGATTTTTAAAAAATGTATAAGTTAAAAAAAATTTAAGATTTAATAAACAGATATAAATTAGTTTAATAATTCGATATAAATTAATGATCTTTAATTATACATTTGCCTATAATTTTATAAGTATAAAAAATATGCAGCTTTTAGAAAAACGGACTTTTCGAATTTTGTCGGTAATTTTTTATCGAACAAATCGAACATCGTATGATTTTGTGAAAATTCTCTCTGCTGTTTGCTAACGTAGGCTGCGTAACTGCATTTCGTAAAAATATATCTATAATATACGTCACGCGAACTATTGATTTTCAATCTTCAGTGAATTAAGGTGCGTTCCGTTTCTCGCATAATGCGTACAATGCATCGTTTATCTTTGTTGCTCACCAAATGTTAAACAAGGACAATTGATGCATCATGCGCGAAACGGAAAGCACCTTTAATAACGAAATGTGCTCCGCCGGCTCCGCGTAAACGATTGTAGCGCCATATGGTGAACAGTTTTCTCGCATTCTTTCGTTCGTTGGACGCACGTGAACATGGCTCCGGTAAGTTGTCATTCCCGCAAAAGTACGACGATTATTCATAATTATGGCAGAAATTCATGAAAATAACATCACCCACGGAAAGGACGTATCCGACTTGTTGATCTCAACACGTTTGTTTTTCGTTTTACGATGTGATCGTTTCAATTTAGTTCGATTCATACGCATCCCATCATATGTTCCTATCCCGTCGCCTTGGACGATTTTCTACGTACCCTATAAAACGATGGCAGTATTACGATTTTTTCGCACATTTTTAGCCAGCAAAGAAGTCTAAAGGCCCGATTAAGAAGCAGGTGCTTCGGGGCAAGGGACAGAAGAAAAAGGTGTCTCTGAGGTTCACGATCGATTGCACGCATCCTGTGGAGGATAATATCATGGATGTTACCAATTTTGTAAGCTACACGCGGTTATTTTAGGTTATATTCTTGATACTTTCTTTTCCCATCTGTGAGAATTTTGCTAGAAATTGCTCCTTTGATATTTTGAATGAAATAAAGACCTAACCTATTCCTCGCTAATTCTTAACCTCTACTAGAAAAATCTAACGTTGATCTATTTTGAATTGCATGATATCTACTGAAGTTTTAATACTATATATTGTTACTGATTGTTGTAAAAGGATGATTTTTTCTTTTTAGGAAAAATATTTACAAGAAAAAATCAAAGTTGGTGGCAAAACTAATAACTTTGGCAACAATGTTACTCTGGAACGTAACAAAATGAAACTTACTGTCAGCAGTGATGTTGACTTCTCAAAGCGGTGAGTAATATCGTGTTTCTGTAGTTACAACAACTGTAGAGTATATAAAAATAAATAAAGCCAATATTCATATAGACACTGCATATAAAAAGAGACAATCTTATATATACAGTCTTACAATATCATGAGTCAATCTCACATAGAATTAACATCTTGAGATATTACTTAAGATGATCTTTAAATGAGAATATGTTATTAATACTGACCTAGATGCTTTCTATTTAGACTGGTATTGATAATCTTATTTTAAATCCTTATTTTAAAATCATTTTAATTAATGTCTAAAGATGCTAATACATCTTTGTAGTTGACTTAAATGGTATCCACAATGAGCAAATCCTGAGTTGTAAGAAATTGACCAATCACAGTCAAATGTGAGAAAAATAATCGACTATGATTGGTTAATTTCTTATGGTTTCAGACTTAAAGCTTAGATAATGGCTGATTGTAGAAAATCCATAAGAACAACTTAATATCTATATATATATATATATCTTATACATATGAAAATATCTTATGTAGATATTAAACAACATTAAAATCAGTATTCATAGTCCGTTATTATTTTGATACTTTCTTAAGTAATGTCTTAATATAACTCTCAAATTGATTTGTGACTTAAGATTCCTTAAAACATTCTTAAAATAAGAATTGACTATGAATATTAGCCTACAAATGTTCCGTTTACTATTATAAACTACAGGAAGAGCGATATTTGCACTAATTTGGAAAACATTGTTGCCATAGGTATCTTAAGTACTTGACAAAGAAATACTTAAAGAAGAACAAGTTGCGTGATTGGTTGCGAGTAGTATCAAAAGACAAGGAAACGTACGAGTTACGATACTTCCAGATTAACAGTCAAGAAGACGATGATGAAGAAGATGTGGAATAATTCCCTTTATTATTTTAATTACAGATGCATCTGTATATATTTCTTTTAATAAAGAATATAAACATTCGATATTCTTGATTATTGTTTATGCGAATATAAAATAATTAGCTTCAATTGTATAACTATTTTTAATTGTTTGAACTATAATTTTGCAATTATGCAATTTATCAACTATATTTTGTAATTATGCAAAATAGCAATATACATATATTTCTATAATTATTTCAAAGTAAGACTATAAGAACAAGACGTACAAATTCCTATTAAAAAAAAAAAAATAGAAAAGGGAGAGAAAAAAAGAGAGTTTATATGACAGAAATAAGTTTTCACAAATTTTAATAGTATGTATAACTTTAAGTAATGTAATGTATAATCTCTTGATAATATTTAAATATGAATTTTCAATATTGTTTCTAATGTAATTAAAATGTGCTCCTAAAGTCGTAAAAATGGCACGAAGTATTTAGGATTCGCATTAAGTTACCATCTCTAGTTAATTAACAATTTCATAATTTGGACGTATTATCTGTCGAGGGCGTCCATAGTTGAGTTACAAAGAACAGCCTACCGTATTATTGGTGTCTCTTCTTGGTAAGCTTCCAGGATTTTGTTTGCATTGCATACTCCAACCTCGAGTGACTTCGAGACTGACGATGTCGACGCACGACACTTTCGTTATTATACCATTCGACACTGTACAACATGACGCTTATACATCTTGTACGTTTTCAGCAAAACACTCGCGAGACAATCTCAACCACGCGCGAACGCGATCGCGAATTCGAACGATTTCCACTCCGCGATCTTTCACGATAGCGCACTCGCTAAGCAACGCGCGAATTTAAAATATCAAAGGAGGCGCGAAATCGTCTTTTAAAGCGCCGCGCCGCAGCGAAGAAGAAAAGTATTGGCTGCGCTCAGTGATTCTTTAATATAATTGGCTCCTTTCTACATATTCAAATCCAGCGTAAAATTTGAATGAAATATTAATTATAATTATAAAGAATTACTATGTACGTGAAGAAGCGTAAAGTGTCTAACGACACATCACAGGTCTAAAGAATTAATTGTCGATATATTTCTTGTTTTATTTTATAAATTATTAAACATATAATTGAGTTAATGTATTTTTATTAAAACGAGAATTATATACCTCTCTCTGATTTGTGTATAATAAATTTCGGAACAGCATCTTTGCTTTCTTTTTTTTTAACGCTCAAATATACATAACAAAATTTATTCACAAACAATATAAACTATAAATGGCACTTAAATTATTCAAAATGGCCGATTGCTTTAAGAATAGGTATTTATAAATCACTTGGTGCTTTGAAATGATAATAAGATATTTAAAGCACTTTTATATTCTTTAATTTGCACTGAAAAACTACACAATATCGCAAATAATTTTTCGTTTTCACATTTTTGTGCATTTTTACTGCGTTAATTTTAACGTTAGAATGTAGATTTATCTATATTTTTTTCAAAGGATGCTAAAGTCCTGTGTTCGTAAGTGCTAGAACTCAGTCCGAGTTTTTAGGTCTAGGAAATATAATATATCAACATGTAATTTTCAACGAAAAACGGCAAGTTGATTGGTTATACATTTCTCGGTCTGAGAATTCAGATCGAATTCTAGCACCGTGGACGTGAACGCGGCTTAATTCAAATCGTATTCACGATTGAGAATTTTAAGCAACACGAATATTTATAAACTTAATCTTTTCCCTTCTGTCTCCACATTAGAAGGAAAAGGAGGAAAGATTCGTGCGCGGGAACGATGCAAAAAACTCAGCTGAAAAAACAAACCTATTCCGCGACTCGTTTCAGCTTTAGCCGGATTTCTTGTCCATCTCTTTTATTCGCAAAGTTTCTCGAGTAATTCAACAATTTTTTGCAAACAAATTCGTCAGATTTTGCGACATCATCTCATTGACGAGAAGAGGAACTATATTCTCACGGCGGAGGAGCCACTACATGCGTAACCCCGGATCTACAATAGACTTTTATGCCTTAAGCCATAAGAAATGGACGAATCATAATCGATTATTCTCCTCGAATTCGACTGTAATTGGTTAATTTCTTATGGCTTAAGCCTTAAGAACACATTGTAGATCCGGAGTAATGAAATTATCAAACGCGCAATCGTAGTCGCCGCGCAGTCGCAGTCGCCGTGACGCACGGCGATTGTTGTCGCGGTTGCGAGAGTTCTATTCACTTCTATTCGAGAATCGTGCTCGTGACGTTCGTGTCGATTCAGCGACCGTCGCGGAAAGCAAATTAGAGGGAAAGAGAGAGAGGGAGGAGAGTGTACGCGCGCGTGTAAACGAAAGGGCGAGCTACGGAACGCAGGTGAAGGCTGGTAAAGGAGGCTTCGAAGGAGAGCGTCGTCGCCGTCGTCGTCGTTGTTATTGTGCCGTGCGATTCGCTCGCAGACGGGGAGGCAATGAAATTCCAGTACAAGGAGGAACATCCATTCGAGAAGAGGAAGGCGGAGGGCGAGAAAATCCGACGGAAATATCCCGATCGGGTGCCCGTAAGTACAAAGCACTTCCCTCCTCCTGGATGATATCCCGGATGGTTAGCTTCCCGAGAGGAGAGTCTCGCGAACTGTTGTCGTCGAGAGGAGGAGACGGGAAGTCCCCTCCGTCGGCTGCTTTCGTAATGTCGCCGTTCCTCGACGGTCCCCCAGTGAAACCCAAGGTCGTCCTCGTATTTTGCGTCGCATATCGTTTCGAACGAGGCCGCTTCTTCCCGACAGGGCCTCTATTTTCTTTTTTGCGCACTTAACAGCGAAATCGCGCTGCGCCTCGCGTATATGTCCTTCCTCGCACGCGTATTGATCTGCTTCACGACGTGCGATCGACCAAGTTTCCCAAGCGCGTCGAAATCCACTTAGAGCTATTTATCTTTGGAATTTATATTTACGTCGGGCTTGCAACTCGATCGCTCCGCGTCTCGGTCTCGAACGGTCTCGAATGTTCTAGTCATTAAGTAAACTTCGAGCAAAAACGTTCCTTCAAAATTATTGGTCTTGTTAACAATTCAGGAAATGATTTGCAATATTTTGCTACTATAGGTTAAACCTAAGTTTCCTCTTTCGAAGCTACGTTAAACATGTGTAAATGTTCTTGAAGCATTGTTTTGAAGCATTATTTTTATTTTTTAATCCAGACATTGTAACAGTTTACACGTATAACGATATCGATTTTTTCATTGTTATAAATTGCCGTGATTTCTCCGCTTTCAGAATCGAATTATTTATTAATTCTCATATTTATATTAATTTTTATTAATTCTCCTCAATTTTTGATGAGTAACAAATAAATTGACAAACACTCACGAATCGAATATATTTTGGTATTAATTTTTTAGATAATTATTTAAGTATTTAATTCTTTTTAAGTATATTTTTGCCTTTCGAAATATATTTTGAATTGAACGTTAGGAAGATCTTTCTGCAAACAGATACGAATTATATTTGCATATTTCGTGAAAAAAAAAAACATGGGTTAGAGATCAAATATTCCGCAAATAAAAAAAAAGAAAAAAAAGTAGAAAAGGATAGACTGATCTTAATGGCTGCTAAAGTTAATTCCTGACAGATTAATCTTCTTTCAATCAACCATTTTTTAAAACACTGATTCATTTCAAAATTTGTCTTAACTCCTATGGTCTGTTTTTTGTTCCTGTACTAGATTGCACTAGAACTGTCGAGAACTCGCTTTCAACAAATATCAAACATATGTCTGTCTCACTTTAAGTTCCAACAGTGTACACTAGTTCAGGGCTGCGTTCAGAATTATCATCTGAGTGCACCCAGGTATCATGTTATCCTTGTTTATCATTCACGAACAAGGATAAAACAACATCTGAGTGCATGTGACGACAATTCTGAACACATCCCAGCCACAGAAAACAGACCTGTAGTACTTTCACGTTCACAATTGTGATTGTTACAAAAGAAACAATAAGTATGTTTATCTTTGCTATATATGAATCATCGATCGCATGACGGTAGTTTCACTCCAAATTATCATCGAATTACACATGCGTTTGTCAGTCCAACAGGACTCGAATTTGACTTATTCAACAGTTGGATGTATTTCAACCAATTCAAATCATTTCACAGCATTAAATATATCATTAAAACTTGACTGTAGTGAGCCAAACAAATTTTTTTAATGATTTTTTTTAGCAAAGGCTGAAATTTTAATTTGCCAGTCAAGTAACAACTTTAATGAAGATATACAGTGATTGATTCGTTTAGTGCTTTTGCAATGACTAATTAAGATATCCTCCTAATGTTGTCAACTAGTATTACATCTTTGTATGTTTAAAAAATATTTGAGAGACATAATATAAATGTTGTTATAGGTAATAGTTGAGAAGGCACCTAAAGCAAAGATTAGTGATCTGGACAAGCAAAAGTATTTGGTACCTTCTGATTTGACTGTTGGTCAGTTTTACTTTTTAATTCGTAAAAGGATTCATTTACGTCCCGAAGATGCTCTGTTCTTCTTCGTAAACAACATCATTCCTCCAACAAGCGCTACCATGGGTTCTCTTTATGCGGTAATTAGAATGATTATTATTCTGAAATGCATATATTAAATGAAATGCTTTGATTTGTACGTTTCATAGTCGCTTGTCTAATCTTATAACTTTTCAACAGGAACATCACGAAGAGGATTTCTTCCTATACATAGCGTATAGCGATGAAAATGTATACGGTCACTAAACCCCTGCAGGATGAGCAAATTGCCAAAACAGCAAAGAATTCAACAACAAATCTACCATCTACCAACGTAGTCCTCATAGACGCTTTCGAAAATCGAGCATACAAAATTACATCTACCGATATACTTTATGTGAAATTTTGTCTTGATACTGCACATTCGCTTCCATAAATCTACATAACTATATCCTTGGATGATAAAAAAAATGCTTATCGATTTCATTCTTTTTGTTTTGCCTCCTAAGAGGGCTTAGTTCACCGTATTATGTAAGAATAACTAATTTGTGTAAAATTATGTGATCATGTAATGTCTAGCCTGGCCATTTAAAAGAAAAAAACAAGAGAAAAAAACCAAAATGTCTGCATTGCCATCATCACTAACATTCTCACACATGGAGTATGATCTAATTTTTACTTGGATGCTCGAGTGTTATATATCTTTGTATAACGTTCAGTAAACAAGATACATAACATCTGGGGAACACTCAAGTAAGAATCCGAATATGCCCCGAAAATTATTTTTTTCACTGCACGTTACAGTCATAATGGTTTTTTTTTTTTTTTTAGACTATAGTAACTATATCGTACTGTATTATTATAAATTCGAAGTATGGTATAGATGATGGAAAGATTCTATCGTGATATCATTTTCAATAATATATATTAGATTAATGTTGTATTATACATATGATTTTGACGTTATTTAATTAATGAAAGAACGAAGAGAAATTGTTGGATATGCGAGCGAGAAAATTTTTCTGTAATCTTGAAAATGTAAGGCCAATAAAAAAAAAGCTAAAAACATGAGAACGTGTCTAAGTCTCTGTTATTCTAAAATATTATTTTCGTCTCATTTAATGTTTCGCTTCTTTTAATAGTGTCGCTTGATCGGTTGCTGACAGAAGTTCTGACATTACTATCAATACCAATACCAGACTTGTTTTGTCCGTACTTCCTAAATTTTTAATCTGTTTGTCCCGAATGCACTCCGCGCTCAATACATGCGAAGACATTAGCAGTCAAACTCTTTCTAGCAACGAAGTAACAGTTTGTACATCATGGATCTGGCGAGTTCTGAGAAAAATGATACAAACGTTACTGTTGAGAGATATGTTAGCTCATTGTATAATCTTACGCAAGAAGATAGCAACTGGATCGTCACGAGTTCCTTCATGATTTTTACAATGCAAACAGGTAATGCTAAAAATAATCTTTCCGAAATGTAAGTTATTTTATCTGTCTGATTAAGATATGAACTATTTATTACTACCGTTATTTTTGTACTTTTATTAATATGCGCGCGAATATTGATTCTCTTGCAAACTGTAGGTTTCGGAATGTTAGAATCCGGCTGTGTATCTTTGAAAAATGAGGTCAATATCATGATGAAGAATGTAGTCGATATAGTTCTTGGTGGCTTGACTTATTGGATTTTTGGATTTGGATTCAGCTTTGGCTTGAGCAAACCCAACAACCCTCTGATCGGCATCGGAGGTTTACTCGTTGATCCTCCCGTCGACGACGAGTACATGGGATCCATTTGCGCCGCATTTTTGTTTCAACTGAGCTTCGCGACCACCTCTACGACTATCGTTAGTGGTGCTATGGCAGAACGGTAGTTATTTTCACAAAGATCTCACCGAAAACGTAGTCGATTATACATTTTGTAATTCTAGATGTAACTTTAAGGCATACTGCCTCTTCTCATTTTTGAATACTATCGTGTACTGCGTACCAGCCGGGTGGGTGTGGGGCGATCATGGTTTTCTGAACCACATGGGGGTCGTTGATATTGCTGGTTCAGGTCCGGTGCATCTTGTTGGTGGTGTTTCAGGTAATACGATTTACAAAGATATCATTGCTAGATAATTAACATAAATATATAAATTTCAATAAATGCATTTACCTGTTAATACAGCTCTCGCTTGCGCTATCATGCTCGGTCCTAGAATAGGCAGATACGATAACGGCATCGACCCTCTACCGCTCGGATGCCCAGTTAATGCTATTATGGGACTGTTCGTGCTATGGTAAAATAATCATAGATTACCGCAATGCTAAATGCAATAAATTGTAAAATATAAAAAAAACTGTGAACCGTAGGTGGGGCTGGTTAGCGTTCAACAGTGGTAGTACTTACGGAGTAACCGGTGATCGGTGGCAGTATGCCGCTCGAGCGGCTGTCTCCACGATGATAGCCAGTATGGGAGGTGGTCTAGTCGGTTTAGGATTCAGCTTGACTAATCCGAATGGAATTGATATCCTTAGTCAGATAAACGGTGTTCTTGGCGCACTGGTGGCAGTTACCGGTACATGCTTAATTAATGTAGAAAACATGAGAAAAACAACCGATTTTTAAGCATTTATGTTGCGTTAGGTGGATGTTTCCTCTATAGAAACTGGGAGGCGATAATAGTTGGAATGGTAGGTGGTTTTATCACGTGTATGGTAATGCCAGCATTAGACAGAATTCATATAGATGATCCCGTTGGTGCAGCTGCTACTCACGGTTCGTTTACGTTAATTCTATTAATACATAAAATTTTTATAAGTTTTTCTCCTTCGCGCGATAATAAACATTCGTATTCGTTTCAAGTATAGGCGCAAGTGGTATTTGGGGAGTTATTGCTATCGGTTTATTTGCTGACAATCCTTATCCTCTTGATACCACAAGTGGAAGGAAGGGCTTATTTAAAGGTATGCTACAATGATTTTTATACATCTTTCTTATTCCGAGTCATCTACAGTGACTCATCTACACAAATTTTTTTCTTTCTCATAGGAGGCGGCTGGTACCTTTTAGGAGTACAAAGTCTATCTGCACTTTGCTTATCGATTTGGAGTTTCTTCACCTCTATCATATTGCTATGGGTTTGTAACTTTATAGTCCTTCAAAAAATATATTATATAAACCATAAATAATATCTGTATAAATATGTTTATCTGTAGATAATAAATAAAATAATACCAATTAGAATGGCTGTTTATGAAGAAGTACTCGGAGCAGATCTTGTAGAGCACAGAATACGCCATTCAAAGGTACGAATTTTCTTAATATCCTAATTTTTTATACGCAATTTTACTTACAATATGTAGTACAAAACGTGTTTATTTACAGATAGGTGTGAGTCGTGCTATGTCAGCTCTTCGACCGTTTACTATGGAAGAAGTACTAAGGAATGTACCTCCTGTAGGCATGAATCCTGGTAAAAGAATTATATCTAAAATCTTTGCCGCGAAATGTGTAGTAATGCGCTCTTTTGATACAGGTCACGATTCATATATTAATCAGCATCAAAAGAAGAAATTAATGAATTTCTCTAAATCTGGGAAACCTCAATTGCCAAAGAAGCTGGTGGCAAAAAATTCCCAAACCAGGACGATCGCGGACTCTACGATAACCGCGGAAGTGAAACCGCAGTTTGCTTGGATAGATTAAAAAAACGAATCCACAGTGAAATTTATACTTTATCAGAGATGTAAATTTATTACAAATGTATAAACATAGATACGTGCACAATGTAATTTCGTTGCATTCTAATATGTCTGAATAATATGTGTATGTGTCTGTGCGAGAGACACACGTTTCTTAATAAGAGTACCTAAATTTTTATTCATTCACACATAAATATTGATCGCGGTCATATATACATGGCTGCGCGTTCGCACACACGACACAAAGATAAATAGACATGATAAGTGGATCACAGACAAACTGAATTTTAACACTGTTTAGTCAGTGGCACAAATATGGTTTCAATCGAATAAATGAAACTAATCGTTCATGACATTTGATAAGATAATGCTTGTTGTTGTAAGAAATAAAATATTTCGATAAATATTTATGCATCTTCCTTAATATCTTTTATATATCGAAGATGCGTATATTTCTACTTTCGTTTGTATATTGACAGGAACTGTTCCTGGAAACCATATTTAGTATATATAATATTCACAAAATATTAGTCCTTTTTTTCTTTTTAAATATTGTACTAATGTATGTTGAGAATATTTACAATTTTATTGTATTTTTGTGATATTTCTTCCAATTTTCTATTCTATTGATATTTCAAAAAATTTTCTAAATTAAATTTAGAAAATGTAATTGGACATATGTATATGAATGATAATATTTGAAAGATATAAGACTAGAGTATCACACGTTTTTTGGATGGCATAATATGTAGACGAAATGTCGCGTATCTTCTTCGTACAATACTTCATTTTTATGACGATTATTAACTAGGAGTAAGAGAGAGATAAGTTTAATAATAATATTCAACATATAAAAATGTATCTAAAAGATTATTATCGATTCCTACTACTAGAAGTATATTCCTTACTAGAGTGATCTAAATATCTATATCTAAATCTTTGTCCTATAAATATGCTAATGAAAAAAAACTTATTAATTACGTGTCATGTATAGTTTTATGGAACACAACAGGTTGAATACTTGAAACTATTGTTATTAAATACTGCTTGACGCCCACTGAGAAACTTCCGTGGGAAGACCAGAATAATTTTTCACAGCCTCAATAACTTGCTGCGATGTTAACGTAAATTTGTAATATTGATATTCTTTTTCAAACTTCGTATTCGTATTTCCAACTGGCAGCAAGATCTCTAAATTCTACAGAATATTATGTTTATTCATATTTTCTTTTCAAGAATCAAATAATTTTAATATGAAAATATTTCTTACCTTGATATGCTCAAAAGCTTTCATGATAACTGGTTTCTGGACAGACTGTACAGAGGAATTCTGATTCGCAAACTTCATATAGCGATTGTATATCGCCTCGAAATTCAATGGCTCGCCGTCGTAAATCTCCGTTTCGTGTTTCATTGCTATTATCTGTGATTATGTCGGAATATAGATAGTATTTGTTATTATTATATAAAGTTGGTTTTAAGAAATAATCGTAAAAAAACATACCAAACACATTTCTAAAATGGACAATCCTTCAAGTATCAACAACTTATCATCCTCCGAAAAGATTTTACTCGCTTCTACAAAATCATTAACTTCTAGTTTCTGATGTTTTTCGGACAACGTCGAGACAGCTACCGCTAAAAAATTTCTAAAGCTCCTCTCACTCACATCAATATGATACATTCTCTTGAGTAAATTCACCATCGTAACGTTGGTAGTTAAACTCTTAATATAGTCATTCCACATAGAACCAAATTGCGGATCTATCGTACAATCATCATATTGTTGCTCTAATTTATTTACATTCTCATCGTCAGGTAAGCTGAGGAGGTCCCGAAAAAGTTCCAGACGATCATCAAACGCGGACATAGGTTGTTCCGATGATGACGTATCGCCGGGAAATAAAAATATTTGGCGATGCGAGAATCTTGATTTGACTCTCTTCTCCAGCAGCTCCATGACGTCTAATCTACAGCTTATTCCAACTACACATATCGGAACCTACAAAAATAAAAGTATTCATCTACATCAAAATTTATAAGATTTTCTTATTCTTCTTTAGCTCGATATTAAATATTTACCTGTGCAGATTGAGCAACATCAAACAGATTATACAGCAATGTCTGATTATGATGTCCACAAAACAGATCAAACTCGTCGAGTATGAAGATGACTGGTTTAGAGCGATGTTTATCACCAGATTTCAGACAATCTAAGAGGAAGCTTAGATTTTCTGCAAATGTACCAAAAACCTTATCCTCAACGACATTTTCTAATTGCATCTGACGAGTTAGATCTTTAAGCGCTAAACGGTCATCAGTGTGTACTAATCCATGAAGATTCACTATTATCGCATTATCTTTAAAACTTTTTAAAGCAGATAATTCCTTCAAGACACTATTAACAAGCTGAAATTATATATAAATAATTATCATTAATTAGAATACAGGATATATTGCCAGGAGTGTGTCTAGTGAATGTGCAATACATGCAGTGTGTAAGTGACAAAAATCAAGATTCATTGTGAATTATATTTGAATATACTACAAATACAACGAAATCGTTTCCTAAATAATTCATCTTCTTAATTCATCGTCTTCATTAAAATTATCTTCCTCTATTATTAATTTTTATCAATGTAGCTTAAGGGGCTATGCAGAATAAAAGGAAACAGAGAACAGAGAATAAGAATTTCAACCTATCAGAAATCATATACAGTAGAATAAACAGTGTGTATTCTATATTCTATAGTACATGATTTCTGATAGATTGAAATTCTTATTCTCTGTTTTCTGTTCTCCGTTCCTTTTATTTTGCGCAGCCCCTATACCTCTATTATCTATTTCTATCAATATAAAGCCTCCTTACATGGTCAATAATACTGAGTCAGTATTACTGATCAGTATAAGATTGGGTCCACAACCTCGCTTTAAGAGGCTCTAAGCTGTAAAGCCGTAAGAAATTAATCAATCACAATCGATTATTTTTCTCACAGTCAATTATGATTGATCAATAACCAGCCTTACTGACAGTATGTATTAGCAATAATCATAAATAATAAAAAGGACGACGTGAGAGTCAAATCAAGATTAAATTGTAGAAATGTTGACATATTTAATTTAAAACTACGAATACATAATTATTAAAAAATAAGATTACAAAAAATATATCTACTTAAATTCTACTTAAATGATGTAAAGATGACGTGACTAGTTTCGACTCTGAATAGAGTCCTCCTCAGACTTGTGAATATGTTTGATGGATAGAATTATTTAAGAAATATATATCATTGTTAATAACTATTTCTGTAAACATTAATCACGAAGTTTTATAATGATATAAATATAGTTAAAAGTAAAAAGAAGATTTACTTACAATAGTTAGTAAATTTAAAATGAAAAAAATGTTCCGGTTTATGTAATAATACAACATTATATATAAAGTGCTGATGAAATATTGCTAACAATGATTGACAAGACGGATCATTGCGAACTGTATGTATTAGTTTTTACAAACTTATACGAACAATATTATTGACAATATATATATTTCACTTCAGTTTGATGTGGTTTGATGTACATTATTATCTATGGCAACATAGATCTTAAGGAAAAAGCATGTATTCAAATCCAAATTATTGTCAGTCTTCTACATCAATCCATCAATATTAATCATGTACAATCAATAATACTATCAGTATTCGTTAATACTGACAGTATTACTGACCATATATAGAGGCCTTTGAAATTATCTTCCTCTATTATTAATTTTTATCAAAGTAGCTTAACTTTATGTCCAATTTTATCTATATATAGATTTAATCTTGATTTAACTTTTTATCTCTTTTTAATTCTCAATATAAGGTTAATCTTGACTTAACTTACTGTTTATTTATCTTTTCCTAAGAAAAAGATAAACTTCTCAGAATGAAAACAAAAAGATAAAAGCTTATAATTAAAATTAAAGCTATTTATATTGATAGAAATAGACATTATATTAAATATAGCTTATTTTTTATCTTTTTCTGGTTTTAAGAATGAACTAAAAAAGGAAAAACAATAAAAAAAAGAAATACAATCTATATTTAGATTCCTTTGTTATCTCCTTGATCGATTTTTACATGCAAATAATTATATATTTACACTTTTGGGACAATAAAATTATTTTTGCAATGTGGTCAACTTTTTACATGCTTTTGTTTCACTATTTTACAATCATAAAGGATAACTATACCGTTGTCTTTCCACTGCCTCTAGGTCCAACTAACAGGACAGAATTACTTTCACCTATTTCAACAGTACGTTTCACTAAATTCATCACATGTAGCCGCTCATTAACGTGATGCCTGAACTTCGTTTCAGGACACATTATTCTACGCTTCAAATACTTTCGCGTAAGCAGTATCATATTGTCTTGAAAATCGATTGCCATATTTTTCTTCTTGCTCATTGTTCTTATTGGTCTTAGACTATTTTAGAAAATTGGAAGACCTGCAAATAATAAAGTCTATCGATTTTTTTTTTCTTAAATACCATTTTTAAAACACTATACAAATTATAATGCAATACTATAAGCAAACTATAAATAAAAAATATATATATATAACATTATATTAATACATATTTAGATATGGAGTCTCTTGACTAATCCCTAATAAATTATCCATTCTTCAGAATAATCAATAACCGACATCACATCCTTTATCCTCACAGATATATCATAATTATGTTAATATATCATAAATAAAACAGTTATGCTCGTCTCTTTATCTAAACTAATTGTAAAACACAATATTTAAAAATATAACGCCTATACGATAGGCTTAAAAAACATAACCCGGGCAATCCGGCCATCTCAAGTTCGATGACACCGAAAGCTTCTTTAATGTAAACTCACTCAAGTTGCTGAGCCTGAATTATCAGTCGATTTTTCGGTCACTTTATTTTGACGCGAATAACAATGCCTAGCGAGTAGTGAAAAGGAAACAACAGGAAACAAACCCGGCTGAATGAGTGTCAGAGGGATGGTGTTTACGTGCGTTTACTAGTGTTTACGAAACAAACATGGACGACGCGGTGCAAGAGCCGGAGAAGAAGAACTGCACCTTTCTATTTAAAAGGCGTAAAATTCGCAATAATGCCACGAGAAAGCGGAGAGGAGCGGACGGCAGTGATAGTGAGTAGTCGTTAACAAACGTCAATTTAAGTACATACTATATATCTGGATATCGCAATTATATCTCTCGGATAAGTTTAGCCAAACCGAAGTTTTAGGTTATGTATAAAAAGAAACATCGTGTGGATAAACGTTTGTATTGATTCCTACGTAGATAGCAGCGAAGATGAGACCATGGTGGTTAAGAAGGAAAAAAAGCAGGATGATCACAATCCCATGATACAAAGCGTAAGTATTCTGCACGGAGACACATAACCTCTACATGGACATTTAAATTGCATAAGTAGTTGCATCAATAACTCTACAATTAATTAGGTCTGTTTGAATTTCTAATTAGACTGCATTGAAACTTTTTGCTTTCGTCAAATGTCAAGCGTATTTCATTTTAAGTTTCCAAAGTGTATGTACACTAGAATTCAACTATAGAAAACAGACCTATGAAGTCCCAAAGCCCGTTTCTAGTAATTAATCTCTGTTTAACTTACTCTTTATTTTTTTCTAATTTTTAGAACTAGAAAATGATAAAAGTAAGTTATGACATATGTAATATTTAAAAAAAATACAGTTTGATACCTGTTTTTGTAGACAAGTGTGAATAAACATCAGAAGAAGATTAATTGCGATGATGATAATAGCGAGGATGACAGCATAACTGTGTCATATAAGAGTAGCAGAACGGCTCTACCGGCTGGTCCAAGTGACCAAGGAGCAACGGCTATTCTGCAGACAGAAACAGAAAAAGATAGAGACGCGCAGGCACTGTTTGAGAAGGCCCAAAAAATAAACGAGGTATGTTTTAAGTGAATAACATTAAGTACTTGTGTGATTATAAAAAAAAGACTCGTCAAGTACATTAGGCGAGTTTGCAATTGACTTAAAAAAAAGTAAAGTTGATAATACGTCTTATTCTTTGTCTTGATCATTAGGAATTAGAAGGGAAAGAAGATGATAAAATTTATAGAGGCTTGAATAATTATGTACAATACTATAAAAAGAAGGATACTGCGGCTGGAAATGCATCCAGCGGAATGGTACGCAAGGGACCAATTCGAGCACCGTCTAATCTTAGAGCAACAGTCAGGTGGGACTATCAACCTGATATATGCAAAGATTACAAAGAGACTGGTTTCTGTGGTTTTGGAGGTATGTCATATTTCAGTTATTCTTTAAATAATCATACTTCTGATTAGTATTAATATAAATTTTTCTATTGTGTTATACAGATAGCTGTAAGTTTTTACACGATCGATCAGATTATAAATTGGGATGGCAATTGGAAAGAGAAGCTGCTACTGGCGAATATAACGACAGTGGAGACGAAGACGATAAGAAATATGAGATTGACAGTGATGAGGACAATTTGCCATTCAAATGCTTTATTTGTAGAAATAGTTTCACGGATCCTGTTGTTACAAAGTATGTAACTATTTTTAGAGTATATCCTTAATCGTTAACTTTTTCGGTGTATTTTTAATATATAATATTTTTTATGACATCCACTTTTTTTTAGATGTAAACATTACTTTTGTGAAAAATGTGCTTTGGAGCAATATAGGAAAAGTACACGATGTTACATCTGCAATGCCCAAACTAACGGTACATTTAATCCTGCAAAAGAACTTATTGCACGAACTAAATTGGAAGAAAAGGAGATAACCGCAGCAAGCGAAGATTCTAGTGAAGATTAAGGAGTAAAACTACTCTAGCACGAAAATTAAGCTTAACTTAACTTTATGAATTTTTTTCGGGAATGTAATGAAAAAAATAAAAATATGTATTTTAGGTCTTTGTTGTATATACATTAAAGTGTAAAATAATTTTTTTTATAATTTTATTACAAAATGGCGACGCTACAGCTCTGCAATGTAACATCTTCTCATGGACAATGCTCTGCGACCGGAACGATAACTCCAGCAATTTTTAATCTAAAATAAAAAAAACAAAAATTTTTTTAATCTACATTCCAAAAGCTAGAGAAAGACATACGAAAATTGCAATATACCATTTTTTTACCATTTAAGCAAAAAAAAAACGATTTTTTGAAAATTCTAGAGTGGCTTTACCCCTTAATAAAATTTTTTACAAGATTATATCTCAGTAGTTTTTATCAAATTTTGTAACTATATATATGTATACATATATATATATAGTGACCGCGCTATACCTGTACGAATGATAAACGTCTGACATCCAGCTTAAAAGTAAATGAAGATAACTCTCATTATTAGTAATCAATAGGAAAAACAATTAGTGGTGAGTAAGCAATCATACAACTTTCCGAATTTTTTTCTAAACGGCAACATTTGTTAAAAATGCATTTTGTATGAATCCATTACAATAAAAATCTGTATATGCACGTGCTTTCATATCTATTCATATTATAAATATATATCATACTATAAATAATTCCAAATATATATTTTTTTTTTCAGAATTAAGCAAGTTCAAATATATAAGCAATTTAAACATATTAAAATAATACAGTATGCAAGCAATATAAAGCACACCGTTTACTTATTAGATAAATAAAAAAAATTTTTGTTATTACATAAAATTTTCAAGTTATTTGTACATCTTCGATGTTTTCAAATACATGAAATATTATACATATTTACAGAATATTTTACTCAGAATCACTCGAAAAACTTCGAGTTTAGGAACCATCTCATTATAGTAATTATCGGATTAACGATTCGCAGGGGGAACTCCGGTCGGGGCGAAGGCGCTACCGATGACTCGCGTCGGGCGTCGCGACGCAAATCGATACACGGCGCAGGCGGCGTGTCGACGGCAGTGTTTGCGGCGGCAGTGTTGTTTCCTTCGTACTGCGAAATGTTGCTGGGCTGTTCGTTTTTCACGGGCTACCACCGAGAACAAGCGGTACGACCGTCATGCCCGTGGCATGCTATCGCGACATAGAGACCACGCGAGATAAGTCTGTGCTTCCGTCGACAGCGTTTTGCAATCTCTTTCATTCGGAAAGGCGCGTCGCAACCGATTCACCGCGCGGCGCCGCCTCTCGTTCCGCCGAGAATCGATCCCTAACGAAAGGACACGGCGCGCGAAACGCGACAGGACGTGAGCTCGACGTTATAATTGTCCTGGTGCGCCGCATTCTTCGGTAAGGAGGAGCATTAATTGACGAGAAAAATTCCGTTACATCTATACATACATTTATAACGGGGAGATACGCGTCCAAGTGTACTCGGATGTGATACTCGCCTCACGGAAGATTTAATATAGTATCGAAGGTCCGTGGCGGTCGCTCGTTGAGGTAGGTCGGTGCCGAAACGACGAAGAAAGATACCACTTGTGTTGAAAGACAGAGAGACGTAATCGAAGTATTCGCGATACGTCTTTAATATATGTCTTCTCGTCTCTTCAATGTCTGTATCATCCGTTATGTAAATATTGAGATTAAATCCCGACGAGACGTTGAAAAGTAGTTGGACGGATTACCCAGCTGTCTACATACGGAATCGTTACGTAAAATTATATTGCGCGTTCGATTGCGTTCGCACTTGTGCTGCCGACGACATATGCTGACGTATTGTAAGGACAGGAGTGCGGACGACTCTGTGACGAACGATCGACGGCAGAGTGTTGGCGAGGAGGTGCGCCGCGTCGCACGCTGTTGAATTAAACAGTAGTCTGCTATTATCTCATTCTTGAGTTGGACTCCAAGTGCCGAAGTCCTCACCGTCATATCGATGGCAATGCTCTTGATCGATAACCCAACGTTCTACGATAGTTAATTTCGACGCACCCGATTTTCTTCATCCCGGTGAAATCTGCAAACAGAAAAACGGCATTATCATTGGGAAGGTGCAGTATTTCACGGCGACTCCCTATCAACCAGGTGGGTGATTTATGCATGGCGCGATAAGAGAGTCGTGATAACTGATTCAAATAATATTAATTCGCACCTGACTGCGACGATGACATACATATGCGTCTATTTCCCTCTATGCTTTCTATGGCTCTCCTAATTTTTTTCTCTTTTATCTGCAAAGAGGAAAAAGATCAAATAAACGACGTGGCGCGTGAAGAGATAGACCAGCCTCGATGAGAGTTTGATGAAAAAAAGAAAGTAATTAATAAATGCTATGAGGGAGTCAAGTTCGAATCCCGATGATTTTATGCGCAATAAATTCTTTACAGTGTTTTACAGATGTCCATTAGCGTCAATAACGCATTAAATTACTTGTCAATTTAATTTGTAATATTATACATACTCCAGCTTCAGTTTAGGACTGTTTCAAAACGGACGAATAATCGAAGCGCAATTTACTTGAGTTGGAAATAGTAAAGCATTTTACAATTACGTAAGTGTACTTGTAAGTGATTACAATTGTAAGAATTGATAAGTCACAGTCGAATATGAAGAAATTATTTGAATGTGAGATTGATCAATTTTTACAAACACAACCACTTACAACTACGCTTACGCAATCATACAAAAAGAAATTATAAGATTACTAAGACCCGCTTTGACCGGATATGACCTTTGTGTTGAATACATGTATTACGCTTAGAAAATGTTCTTGATATTTCATTAATGCGCTATTTGATAAAAAATTGCGTTGACATCAATACCACAACTGCGCTACTTTATAAAACCGTTTAAACGTGAAGGTCTCAGTGAACAGATTTCCTCTTATTCCGATCTGGTTTCCTGTTTATAAGTAGCGTTAATTCCAATCAAAAGAAACGAGTTATTAGTAATTAATAGATACATGCTGTTCTCTTGACGATCAGTTTTGCGCGATAATTAGAATAATCTCGCATTTGTGTCCAAGAATAAGCTTTATAAATTGCGTGTCTCGCTCCTCTCTGCACGACGTATCGTCATTTGGCTCGTGTTCATCGGTCGTATGTACTTATCTATGCATATCGCGTTGGTCCCACGTGCGGTGCATATGTGTCGACAGCATAATACGGCCGAATACGGTGATAATGAGCACGCAATCGTACAAGTTCAGATAACTGCGCGTCGACATACGCGAGACCATCTCATATTAATGAACTATGAAATATTTTTCTTACCTCATTGACATTATGATAAATTAACTTACCGTAAGTATACATATTGATAATATCATGTCTTATAACAGTCTTAAAATTGTTACCTAAATTTTTTCAAGGCAAACGCGTCTTCGAAAGTTATATTTCTGCAATATGAAATAATAAAATGTTGCGTTCGCATGTGTAATTATATGTCCCAGACAAATTTCTGGCATGCAATTCGAAGCCAATCTCCTTAACGAAAATGTCGCAGGACGTCATTCGTCATTCGTCGAGACTTGCGACACTGAATATTTTAGCAAGTACCTCGAATGAAATTTCTGTCTAAACGTGTTCCAATATAAATCAGATGTCTGGTTTTGTTATTTACATGTAAAGTGCGTTGAAAATTTAAACAAGAAAAATAAATCTTCGAAACGTGGATACATCTCTCGCTGTCTTAGCAATCAATAAGAGATCTGTTGCAATTATCCGAAATCGATTTGATTCTCTCTTAAATGTTATTAAGCACAAAAAATGTAAGAAGTACATATTTTATTATATCGACCCAATTTGAAATTTATAAAGGGTGAAACAACTTCTCAAATATTTAGGTCCAGAAATTCGTTTTAAGGGGAGATATTGACGCGACCAAACAAAATTTTTTTAAGGTCTCTCTAATGTAAAAAGATAAAATATTTAAATTATTATTAGTGTTATATTAAAAAAATTATTATTTAACTGTATAAACATAAAACGTTTTATTTAAAATTATATCAACTAAAGAAAAAATAATTAATAAAATCTATATATTTTTTTATACTCAATTTCTTAAATTAAAAAGGGAGAAATTATAGAAACATTAACAAAAATGTGATTAAGCATTTCAGAAATATTAGAAATATATAGTAACATTCTGCTATAAATATTTTTTAAAAAGAAGAGAACTCCCTCTCCGTGGATCCACCAGTCTCAAAGCTAACGTTTACGTTTCATTCTACTCAATTATTAAAAAAAAACAGTGAGATATATAGAAGAGTGTTTCCGACAAAACTTTTATGGTTTTTATATATATTACTTTATAATCGTGTATTTACAATTTTTTTTTAATATCTAATATTTTAAAAATATCCCCATTCCATATTAAGTTTCTAGGGGTTGTTTCATCCATTAAATCCCAAGTTGGGCCAATATAAAACAATATGTCTCCGGATAACTGTGACACTCCCTTAATTGTGAATTTGTGAGTAAACTATTTCTCCTACAAGAGACGCTCTCGTGTGTAAAGCCGAGTACAGACAAAACGCTAATGTCTGCCGATGACGGACGCTACTGTACAGTCGCGTTTCAAAAATAACTAACGGCAAGAAAATAGAGGACTGCGAAAAAGCGAGTCCCCTCGCACGACCATGACTGTCGACGACATTGACGGTTGCGAGGTTGACACGTGCACGTGCATACACGCGGGCGCACACATATTCAACTAGTGTATGCTTGTGTTCGCGCTCGCACTTATATCTCTCTGTGTTCGGAAAATGTGTACACGGGTTTATGCGCGCTACGGAACCGTGTAATCGGTTTTGGATCGATAAATCGCGTACGTATGCGGTCGTAACAAAGCGCCGACGCGTTTCGCGAAATGTTACTAATTATAAACTACATACGCGAAAATCCGGAAATCGGAATCCCGCTACGACGTTAACGTACGCGTGTAAGCTCCGAAAGAGCTCCGATATCGCCACAGAGGTGGAAGAGTACAATTTTAACACCTTTTTTGCGATCGTTGACGTACTAGACTACTAGAGCGTCTTTTTGTTCTTGTAGCTGGGAACCCTTGACGTAATTTCACACCTTTTCACGAGATAAAACTGATAAGGGCGAGCATTTGTCGTGCCGCGGTCATCAAAGCGTTAATGAGAAACTTCCTATAATATGCATTATTTTTTATTACAATTTTATCATATTAATTTTTCCAACATTAGAAGAGCTTCTGTTCTTTCGCATAAATTCGCGGATCTATCTATACTTCTATGCATATTTTGCAGTTTTCATCAAACTTTGTGTATACATACTGAAAGCCGTGTAAAGTTCAATACAGATCGATGAATTATAGTATGTAAGGACACGCGAAAAAGAGAACTTACGCGCGTTGCCGGCGAGTTTTGCACCAATTCCGGGAATTAGTCAGCCTTGGTAGGACACACGACCTCCGCGTGTGTTTCAATGCGGACTCACAAACGGTGAATTATAGCCACGAAAGTATAAGTGCACGCGAACGCTGCTCCGGTTGTGACGGCCAAGTAAGGTCAACAGTAAGGCTGTAGATCTATCGCCGTAGAATACTCAAAGAGTTTCCAAGAACACAATTTTGCATAAACTATCTGTAAAATATACATTACACAAAATTATTTACGAAAATACGTAAACCTATAAAATGATATTTAGACTAATCTTTCTCGAGCATTATAATTTATTCTTATTACTGTCGCGATATGTAAATACAAAGCGCGTTTCTCTTCCACAGTCTTAAATATGTAAATGCTGATTTATCGTTAGCTCATAACCACGGATACAAAATAAAGTCGCGAATGTTGAATATTTCACTTGTCACTATGACGAATATCGTGCACAATGAACCTTGGTCAGTGAACTGCGTTTATAGACAAAGACGTGTAACACATGCCTTTCTATATACGTGCAATGCGTGACAAATCTTACAACTGCAATTCGATTAAGTATTAATTAGCAGTTAATTAGTACCATAAAATTTTTAACAATGCTCGATATCTAGTAAGATACAATTATAATATATCTAATTATTAAATATATTTTCCGAGGATCGTTTTTTTACGCTCCGTCACGATGCAAAGTACCGTTTAATGTTATATCGATAGCGTCAGTCAAACGAAGCGTCGCGAATAGAAATAAAAAGCAGCCGCGAAAGTCACGATGACGCGCACGCATGTATATACAATATACATATATATAATAAAAAAAAATAGGCTCTGTGGCTCTATCGAAGAAGAATTAGCTCTTATTCTAGCAAATTACTTGCTGCTTCTTATTTCGCCCTCTGTTCAACTTCCGGCTTTGTCTTTTAAACGTCAATATTGATTCAGTATTCCTACCTTTATTTCGATTCGCTCATTTTATCTTATCTGCACTAATGCAGAACACAATCTCTCGGTAGAGACAACTTATCTTACTTCCATTGTAGATATCACGATTTCAAGTTCAGTTCGCGGAGAACATCTAGAATGGAAGTAGAGACACATTATAGCAAAACTACGATAGCCATTTGTCCTAAGAGACATGGGAAGTGTAATTATAGCCAGTACTACCGGTAGGATACGTCAGAGCTAGGATAGGATTAACGAGGCATTCGCCGTTCAGCACCCCAGTCATTGTCTCATTATCCGTTAATCCCGCTTCCAGATGGTTTCTGGCAGTGATGCCCTCATCGGAGGAGGAAAGCCAGTGGCTTGTTGGCAGCGGGGGCGGCCTCGCACCCTCCAGCGGCAGTACGACGAAAACGGGTGCCGGCGAGCACGGCGTGAGCACTAGATCCGGCCTCTACACCGAGGAAATGACGACGCAGCCGGCGAGTGTCGCCACAGCCGGCGTAAACTCGGCCTCGGCCGATTCTGCGGAGCATGATCTCATCGACTCCACCGCGGACGCGACTCTCCTGGCGCAGTTTCACGAAGATGCCATCAAGCAGGTGATGATGCTTTATGGATGCAGCTTATGCTTCGTTACCTCGGAATAAAATCTCCGAATTCGGCAAACCTCCGAGAAGACTCGTCATCGTTTTATTTATTTTTTTCTAAATTATGGTCCTGTCTGATAAAAAATTGAAATAATATTTTTAAAATGTCGCTTTTATTCTCACAAAAATCCAATAATGACTAATTTCATATCTACATATAAAACACAGATCATTCCAGTAATATTGCAATGTTTCAGCAATAGAGAATATATATATAGAAATTAAAGAGATGAAAAATAGAGAGGACGAATAGAAAAAAAGGAGAGCTGTTGAAGAGAATAAAGAAAATAGTAGATAAAGAGGAAGAAAAAGAAAGGAATAAAGGAATAGTAATAAAAAGATTATTAGCAATGTTACTACAAATTTCTATATGCTGTACTAAATATTGGTCAATTTAATCCTGAAAAATGATTGATTACTAATTAATATCAAGAACTGAACAATAATTGGTGCTTTGCAACAAGAAAAACACAATGATCATTTCAACTTTGTTTAATATTGACAAACAACAAGGATAGACATTTTCCAGCAAGGACATTGCAGAGTGTAACACAGTGAATCATTACATTCTTGTTTAACATTGACAAACAAGGATGTAATTTATGTAATGATTCACTGCATCACTGTGTCCTTGCTGGAGAAAATGTACAATGTTATTTGTCTCTTACTAGAAACCAGCCAGTTGCACAATCAGTACTTTTAATCAAAATAAATCGTTAATATATATCTATTACTATCCTCCTGCAGTATTAAATTTCTACAAGGATATGACACAGCAAGTCTTTTAAACTCATAAAAAGTAAAATTACCGACTGCCTACCTAACCCTCTCGTCGCAGCTACGGCGTACTTCCTTGACAAAATTAACGCGTCATTATCTCTGTATTCATGATAGTAGCTATGAGTCATTTCTGATCATTTCAAACGTGGTGGATCTCAATCACTGAATCATTATCGAAACGAGGCGTAGCCCCAGTATCGATCATGTTGCTCGATCATCGTGATCGAGAGTTGCCACTCGATTAGCTCTGTCAACGTCAAATACGATATAAAAATATATACAGGGTGCTAGGCGGAACAAAAACATAACCTAGACGAAATGGCGTCGTCGTTCATTTACTTGAAGTGAATGATTTCGTCCTCGTGATTCAGAACGTCTCTTTCTCTCTCTCTTTGCAAAAATGGGCGAAACTCTAGACGATTCTATCGTCAAGGCAAAATACGTACCGCGTGAAGTACCGGGCTATTTGAAGGATTTTCCAGTAAATATTTTTTACTTGATTTTACATAACGGAGGTTACGTTCCGCGGAGCAAAAAAAACTAATACATACCCTTGAACAATATTTATTAAACAATTTATTGTTTATTTGTATTTAAAAATACTAAAAGGAGCATCTTTTTCAGTTAACACTTGAAGAATTATAGGACTGTTTTTTAATAGTTAAAACAGTGTACACTCTGTTCTTAAAAAGTGACATAAATAGAAAAAATCCTAGTGTAATCCAGTGTAGCAATAAAAAAGCAAATCTTATGTGTTCATCCATATCTTTTACTCATAAAAGTTTGATAAATGTTAACTTTATAATAACATATAACTGCAACATACATAATAAGACATCTACTGTATAAAATTGTATTAAGAAATTGGATATAATGTTACAGGCTGGTGTTGGATATTTCCAAATATTTGCTGCTTTCTGCACGGGTTTGAGTCTGGCTGCCGATACCGTTGAAATTTTTGTTGTACCATACATACTGCCAAGCGCAGAGGTTGAGCTTTGCATCGAGGACAATGAAAAAGGATGGCTTGGTGAGTTGTTACTTTTGTGCAAACGTATTTCGCGATATTAAACAACATAATTTTACAGGAAATATTACTCTCGTTGGCCTTGCTCTGGGTGGATTATTTTGGGGTGGTTTAGGTGACAGACTAGGAAGACGCAGATCCCTCTTCTCAGCCATGTCTGTGCATTCTCTGTTTAGTGGTGTCGCAACGTTTATGCCCACTTATGGCACTTTTATGACCGCTAGATTTTGCTCGGCTCTTGGGTAAGTAAATTTTTTTTATTCATTGATTTAAAAACATTTAATATTTTTTCAAACAAGGACTAAAGTAGTTACTTAAATATTATTATTATTATTTAGTATAATTAAATTTACCATATTACAGAGTAGGAGGAGCTGTACCTCTAGCATTCGTATATCTCGCAGAATGCTGTCCACGATTAAGTAGAGGTCGCTGGACAGGTATACTTGTGGCAGCATGTGCACTTGGTGGTGTCTATGCAGCACTCTTGGCTTGGGCAGTAGTACCCACAACAGGAGAAATGGTTGTCCTGGAGAATAAAGAACACTTCAGCGCTTGGCATCGTTTCTTGTTATTATGTTGTCTGCCGGCGTTGTGCTCCACGTTTGGTCTTATCTTTCTACCAGAAAGTCCAAGGTATCTTATAGAAGCTGGTCGAGATGTAGAGGCAATGATGGTTTATCAGGTAAAGATGTGTAACATAAATGATGATAAAATTAATTATTTAGTATTTAATATTCAAATTTATCGATAATTTATGTTTTAGAGGATATATAAGAAAAATAACGCTCGTAAAGGTGCAACAGGTGCTCAATACCAACTCTCTGAACTTGAACTTCCGACTAAAAGACCACGTGGCTTGGCACCGCCATCTCCAAGTAATCACACCAGTGTTTTGGCAGACATAATATATTCAATCGAAATGGTAAATATTTCTGAAAGATATTATATAAAGATATATCTTGACTATAAAATTTAATTTATTCTTTGCCCATAGTTCTGGAATTCTTTCTTGGAATTATTTGCTATACCTCACTTACGTGTGACTTTGGTACTATTAATTATCTGGACCGCTGCTTCATTCAGGTGAGTTTAAGTTAGTTCTTAGGTAATTACTATCAAGTAAGAATTTTATAAACTCACTCTGTGTTTGTTCAGTATTTACGGTCTTATGATATGGTGTCCTGAATATCTGAAACTTTTGCGAGCGAAGGAATACAGGGATCATACCAGACACTTTCAAAGAGAAGAGCACAATGGTACAACATTTACTGGTTCTTGGGAAAATCGTCAGTACAAAGACTCGACATTTTCCAACTGCAAGTACGGATATTATTTCATATGTACCAATGCAAAAATCGAACAAGTATTTTTTTTCTATATAAATATAATTTTTAAATCTTTACAGATTTACTAAAATGATATTCAGCCATGTCGATTTTGACAATTGTACCTTCCAATCGGTTGAATTCAGTAGCATTAAGTCTAGCAAAACCCACTTTAGAGACAGTGTTATTATATATTCAAAGTAAGTGTAACATTTATATTAGATATCTTCTAAATTTATACATATATTTTTAAATAAATGTTTATATTTATCAATACAAATATAAAGTATTATATGAATATATGTACACACACACACACATATATATATATGTATACTTTGTTACAGATTTGTTGACACAGATTTATCTGCACAAGTTTTCACCAGATGTAAATTGGAAAATAACACGGAGCTGAGTTTAAGTGGGTCCTGTCCAACTCTCGATCTCGATTATAACATTTATATCGAAGAGGCGCTACATGCTCATCTTGTTGCTCAATTGGCTTTTGTACCCGCTGCTGCGCTAGCAGGTTTAGCACTTACCGTTCTTCAGCGGCCAAAACTAATTGGTTAGTTAATAAGATTCTTTGAAAATCGCAAGCGGAAAATTTCAATTTCAACTCATTTATGATATTTATTCTCTTTTACCAATAGGTCTCTCACTTTTTCTCTCTTCCGTTGTTGCATTATGTCTGATATTAATTCGCCAAAATAGTTCGGCAGTTCTCGGTTTCGAAGGAGGCTTCACAGCTCTTTTTGCTGTTGGATGGACATCGTTAACTTTGGTGACAGTCGAGAGCTTCCCTACACACTTAAGGTAAAGTAAAAATTTTTAGGATATTACAAAAAAAATTGAAAATTATTTTAAAAGGAAGTATTTATTAATATGTTTCTGTAGATGTACCGGTTTTGGACTCATAGCAGCAGCTATGAGAATATCAGGTCTGATAGGAACCACGACATATCAGACATTGGTGGGTACGCCATTAATTGCGCCCGCATTATTGACTGCGCTAACATTATTAATTGCTAGCGTTATAACTTTTAAATTGCCTCATACTCATACTGTCTTCTTGTAAACTTTCTATGAATAGAAAAGAATATCAGCAACATTGATATATCTAAAACTAAAAATTGATTATCGCATATGAAACAAACTTATACGGTACTCTATCACTGACGAATGAATTCTCAAAAAGAATAATCTCGAATGCGTCAAAGACGTACAGAAGGAGAAGACGTGCTATTCTTTATTCTTCATTCTTAAAACTTATTCGAAAAAAAATGTTCAAAACGTGTCAATAATTCAATTTTATCAAAAAGAATTTTTTTAGAATATAAAACTTTATACAAAGTAACATATCCTAAGTAATAATAGAGCACTGTCGTCTTTCGAGACACTTGCATATTTGAAGCGCACAGAACGTTCACAGCGACTTTAATTTGCTAACGCAGAATAGCGTAATAGTCCCTTGGACTTGGATCAAAGTACTCTTGTATCGTATTACTTATGAAACGCAACATTCACTATATGCGAAGGATATGCAATGTGCGATAAAAATTTAAAAAAAAAAATCGATCGGCTCTGACACGGACGTTTCCGTGTGTATAATAGTCACTCTGAAACTAACGTAATTACTTCACTATTTTACCTTTGACGATATATAAATGGTTACGCAAGTATATTGAGCAAAAGACATACACGTATGTACAACTATTTTAATAAGGCTCATGCCATAAAACGTGTCAATTTTAATAGAGGATGTACAATCATCCATAATGATATATATCATATACATTAAGAAACATTGATTAGAGAGATATATTGATAATGCAATTTGATATCTCAATTATTATTCCGAATACAACGCTTATAAAATACATAGCTGTTCTCTCAATCTATAGATTAAATAATATCGATATATGATGTGTGAAACTTGGATATATTCCGCGATATATATTTCGCGAAAGATATCTATTCGCTCAGATTCAGTAACACAAGACACTACATGAATATCCGCATACAGATCAATTATGATGATGCAACAAATCATTTTATGTTTTTATGCAAGAAGAGAAATGATATTTTTATTTCATGCGCAGAAAACATTTCTATAAAAGGAAAATAATCGGACAATTATATGTTCAATACTTCTGTTTTTTTTAATCAATTTATTAGCATGCACTCCAGATTACCGACTAGATGCTAAAATGCTGCTAATGATAAATAAGGAAGAAAGAGAGGGGTGGAAAGAGACACACACATGATTCACGTAATGTAAACGCTGCCGTATGAAATCTTAAAATATCTAGATGCAAACTTTCGAACGAGAAAAAAAGACAGAGAAGATTCAGCTTCGTAGCGTAAAGACCCAAGATCTATCATCTTCAACGTTAATCGTCTTCTAACTTATGATCAATTACATATATATGAACGTGTGCATCTGACTTTCTAGTGATGTGTATATTAAAACGTAGAACGTTATTTTCTACAAGAACCAGGATCACACGTCTTGACATAAATATATATAAAATGTAATATCTGTGTAATATATATTCACTTGATGAAACTTTGTTAAGGTTTTATCTCCACCGACAACAGACAACAATGTATAACACTGGCAAGTTAAAAAGAACGTAAAGAAAGTTTGTTGAAAGGGAGAAGCAACTTATATCTAGGCAATAAGAATGTATGAAAGTCCGACGCAGATCGAGTCTTGCCTACCAGAATTCAAAAAATATACTTTATAGAATTTTGGAGGAGTTCGTCAAGACAAAGAAAATGTCGGTAGATTTAATAGGATAAATGTCTACGTCCCGTCACGGTTAGTGAATTTTTTTCATATCAGACTGTTGAGACGATCGATATACTTATACATCCTATATATATACACAAAAGTTTAATATCCAGGCCAATCTGGGCCGAGATTTATGAACGTCTCGTCGAGGAAAATAGAAAGAAGAGACCATTACGATGACCGACACACGAACGCCGTTACACATTCCAGTGATTGTCCTGAGGATGATTTCATCTTCTTTCGATGAAAATCCTAACGGAAGTCATTTGTTTCTGCTTAAGGAAATCGCGGTTCGTCGTAAACTTGGTCGTGGAGCGAGTTGTGTCGGTGTCGCAATTGCGATCACATCGATTTATGTGACAATGAATCACGAGGATTATAATACATCTGAACAAAAGATATTCTAATTGAAGTGCGAAATTTAAGTATGCTTACGAAACTTTCGTCGGGACCATACGACGTTTTTATTAGCTCCTTTTTATATTGGACGTTAATCAAAATACAATAATATTGAGATAACATATCGATGCCGGCACACACGCAACCCCACGTAATTAATTCTACTACAACATTCAAGTCTATCATCACACCCGTAGATATATATATATATATTATATATATACATTTTACTCAACATATCATATTTATGAACAAGCACTCTAGATTTAGGCCTTAGTCAGATTATTGATTAGAAACACACATAAACAGAATACGTAAAGACGGTAGTGCGAGATGACTCTCGAGTAGACTGATCGAGATAGAGGATCTGCCGAGGCACTATTTTCCTATCTTATGTTTCTTTAGCGATTATGTTTAGCTAATATATGTAGCGTATATACATGTTTTGTTTTACACAACGAGATTATCAACTGATTAAGTGATAAGAAGAAATGCAATACTCGTATAATCTGGTCAAACGTGCATTTTACTAATATTAAATGCAATTACTCGACTCAATTTTACTAATATTAAATATAATTATTTATTCATCACTGAGAATATTGTATACATATCACGCTGTTCAGACTGGAATTAACGATCAGTTGGTAATCACTGTTTCAGAGAGACTGCTTCTTATTATTAAAATTGAAAGAATTTAATTAGTTAAGATCTTTTACATAGCCGATGATGACACGAGAAACATTGTACAATATATCATTTCTATTTTAGACTTTACGTTTGGTCATATTTTTGACTGATCGCACAGCTTTTAATCCTTATGATACAGGAACGGAAACTTCGAGGCGAGATTTTTACGTGAGATTGTAAAAAATATGTGAATAAGTGATAAGAGATAAGTGTTTTTTAAAATTGTTATTATGAAATTCTTATAGCTATATCGAGATTAGTTACAAAATTTATAGAATTATTTATTCTTGACAAATGCATGAAATTACACAGCAATATTTATTATACATTATCGGTCGTATCGAGAATTTATGTTGGACAAATGTAAGAAAAGACATTTTAGTATATATTATATATTATTTTGCATACGTTAGAATTAGAATAAGAAAATCAATTTTGCACTTTTTTTTTTATTCTTCTCGAGTTTTCTTATTTAAAGTTCTTATATTGTGTGTGTACACAACTTATTAAAATTTTGCTTCATAAAAATAAACTGTCGTTCGAAAGCGATATTTACAGACAATATATTTTTTTTAATTATATATTGCCAATTAATGATATAAATCAAATTTTATTTATACAATTGAAATTAACGTTGCGTCTTTTTTAGCCTGCTGAGTTGTATATTCACGAATATGGATATTGCTTTCGGCATTGAGCTTTCGAATGTATTAGGAAATCTTTCATCGCAATTAAAAAATTAAGTTTCTTAATGGCAAATCTCATTTTATATTTCGGAAAATAATAATCCAAGAGAAAATGTATATTATCTTTAAGATTTCGAGAAGAATTGCGCGTAGCGTTTTACATCACGTAGGGAGACAATTAATTTATTTATACTACTCGTGAAAGCCCGCGTTTAATGCGAGTTCTTCTATTTACGATTATTCATCGGTTAACTCATTTGTACATAGCTCTTATGAAGGTAGCTCTAGTATAATTTCAGTGCCGATCGAATAGTTATCTAGCCACTAACGAAGTGGCGCATCGAAATCGTTTTAGCGTTATCGTTTTGCTCGGCGTATGCAGAAGACCGAGCGAGAACAAGATTACATTCAAGTAATAATTTCGCCAGTGAGTCCAGCGCTCATGATTTTTATAAATTGTATAAATTATATCATTCTTCTGCGAGAAAGTAGATACTTTGTGCAACGCTTCGAATGAGAGCAATTGTAAGCACTTTAATGTATATTATATCTAATATTACATTAATATGCTATATAAAAATTATATACATATAGTATAATATTAATATATTATATACATGAATATATGTTATATATAATGTATAATGTATATTCTTTAAGAAAAATAGAGGAAGAGAGAAAGAGAGAGAGAGAGAGAGAGGTGTGCTTTGCTCAGAATGTACTTTCGAGCTACATACGTTTTTACGCTCTTAGAATCAAGTCCACAGATATATAAATAGCGATCATTTTATAAATCCTGTTCTTTCAAGATCGTTTAATGGCGAGGTAGCGAAACGAGATCGTCGGAATGCGGAGAAATGTTTTCGTAAAATTCGTAATTTTTACGAACGGCGTATACTGTGTACTTGCAAGTAAATTTCGATTTTCTCGAGACTGAAACGACAGCGGCGTTGGGCGTGGCGAACAAGTTTCGAGAGTCCGTTTACACTTTGATCTCGACGTATAATTTTCGTACGATAAAAGTCGCGAGTTGTGACGGTATTTAATAAGATTCAACTGCGAAATGTACGAATGGCATTAATGAGAATTTTATTGAATCGAAAACCACACTTGTTTTATGCCCTTTGATATTCCGAATCCTTTATTTTTAATCCCTCTCAATATTTTAATAAGAAAATGAAATTATAATGTAAATTGAGATTAAAGCTTTCGTAACGAGTAGAAAATTAAAAAATTATATTATAAAAGTTATATATAATAATAAAAATATCAGACTATTGTAAGATTATTTGAGACATTATCAATTATTTCTTGCAATTAATAATTATTACAGTTAGTCAACAATGAAACAGAGCTGTGTTCTTACATTTCAAATTACGTTTAAATGGAATACTTAACGTGTTGTTTACGTTAAGTTTACACGAATATATTGTAGGCAATGTAAGATATGTCAATTATTATAAATTAGATAACACAAAAAAGTAATTAAATTGTATGATTGTTAGTATATCTGACTGTTGCTAAATAAAGTGTACAAACGATGTAAAAATTTTAGTACAATTTAATGCAGTGGCACAGAGAACATATAAATTTTGCAAATACATATAGATTATATTTCTCATAATCCATATGCGATAAAATTTTAACCACAATAGATAATACAGAGAACTTGTTTGTCGATTAAAAATCTATCGGATCTACTTGTTCGGCAGTGTAAATTTAAAGAATCATCGGTAAATATGACCGTAGATGATTGCTTTATCTACAATATATATGTATGTATCATATATTATAAATATTTTTCAAGTAGGATAACGGAATATTTCAACACGATAATTATACATAATTTCGCTGTGTATTACATACACACATGCATACATTATATGTGTGTTTACAATTATCTCCTCTTCGTCAGACATACAAGATCATATTTTCGACAATCGCGCGTGATCTATATTTTCCTCTCGCTCTCTCTCTTCATTATAACGCTTATCGTGTAATAAATCTCCTCAAGCGACATAACGTCAATTAGTTTAATAATATACATTAAAATTCCTGACAAATTCCGGTGCACGCGCGCGCGCATGACATCCTTTCGATCCCGCCGCGTGCTAACCTTGAGCTTGACCCTGGGCATATCTCCCGCGCACCTCCACCCGTCGATGCTGCGGATTATGTCGGAGGATGATCCATGTTGAACGAGTCCTGACCTAACCTATTCTAGGCTATGTCTCTGTTCTCCCATACAGACAAAGCCTAGGAGAGGCTAAACCAAGTTACTCGGTTCTCGCTTTCTTTTTTTTGTTTTATCTTCGTCTGGTCCGCTCCTTTTGCAGTCTCCTTCCCACGGTAGTTTCCGCTTGCCTGCAGCAATGATCCTCTGGCTATGTCATATAACAATTATAAAATAGCGCTCGAATATATACTTAGAATGATATAATTTTGATTGCAATTAGCAAAGAAAGCAATTTTTAACTGTTGTAAAATTCTTCAATATGATTGGTTCCTCATAAGAATCTAAATATATAAACCAATTATATATTGAAAGATTTTATAACAGTCGCAAAGCTGCTTTTTCTGCTGAACGCAGCCTTTAATTAAAAACTAACTACTCAAAAAGATTTTCGAAGAAATCTTTTTTTTATACGGTTTATTTCCTTCCATCTATGTTACTTGATTTGATCGACATTGCACGAATTACTCCAAAAGGTCTATCTACATCAACCTTATTTCATCCACTCCTGGATATCATCGGCCTCCTCTTCCAACCCTTTTCCATTCTACATGGTTTTGAAAGAAAGGAATTTGACAAAAACGCCATGCTTGCCATTGTCTCCTGAGATGGCGATCAATTAAAATTTGGATGTTCCGGATGGGATCAAATACTGAATCTTTGACACAGGAAGCAGTCACACGTTACGCTCTGCGCCACGATCGCCACTTATTAGAATTACTATTGCTATTGAAAATATTTCGAGTCACGGAGTGCCATCGCTCGAGGTATACGAGATTCGAGAATGAACCGGGATTTCAAAGAAAGTCTAAAAAGAAATCGCCGTACAGAATCTATTAAGTATTCTCTCAGTGTCTTTAATATTTAAATTACACTTACTTTACAATATTATATGTACATACATTATAAAGCTAACCTTGGTAACGATCAACAAGAATAAAAAAATATCAAAAAACCCGAAGAACTTGGATGAGCGTAAATGAGCGATTAAACTGGATATAATCCTTCACTTAATAATGTATATATAGCTGCAAAATCAAAAAGAAGTAACTGCAAAAATAATTTTTTTTTCATCTTACAAGTATATAATGATCGCTTTTCGATTCTTTCAAAATTCTTTTCAATTTTCTTGACTACATTTTAACTTCTTACAATTAAACTAGAATTGAATTTATTACATCACAATAGTTTACAAAATGGTTAGCTTGACCGCAACGTTGAATAAAAAATTGTAGAGCTTAATTGACTCGTGAAAGAAACGTTGAGAGAAGAAGGGAGGGAAAGAGTTAAAAAAAAGGAAACAAAAAACGTCAATTTAACAGTACCACGCGTATTCTTTTACGAAGAGTCATTTTTGCGACGGTGGTCCGACCGGCACAAAGAAAGCGTGTCACGCCTAAAAATACGCGAGGCACGCAGGCAGGTAGACATGGAAAGGTCGTAGGGACCCGGGACGGAATACCGAAAGAAGAAAAAAGAGAGAAAACAGACAAGAGGAATTGCACAAGCGATAGCGATTTGGTATTCAAATCGCCAGGCGGGGGAAGGGGGAAGACGCGCGCCCGTCTTTTCTCTTTCTTTTGTACAGGACTTTTTCGATTATCCTAAACGTGCAATAAAATATAAAATTAAAATGTGCAAAGTGTGCGGAATGTAATATAATATAATACACGAAAGAGGAGAATGATTTTGCTGAAGTATCTATAAGAATTTAGCTAGATACAAATTAAAAAATAATTTTGTCGGACCATCAAAATAATTATATAGAATAATAAAATATGTAATATGTGTGTGTATGCGGAATGTAATATTATAACATACAGAAAGAATGATTTTGCTGAATATCTAAAAATTTAATTAAATATAGATCTGAAAATAATTTTGTTGGACTATCAAAATAATTATATATAGGAGATGCTCAAATGGTTGTTAAAATGTCATAACTTTTTGTAACATTACTCATCATTAAGATTCCTACAAAATTATATTCAGATCTAGATAACTTATTTTTAGATATACTTTAGCAAAAAATCGTTTTTTCCGCGTTAAATACACGCGAAGAAGTCAATATAAAACGTCTTGTGAGAAAATATTCGATATACGTGAAGAAACCGAATGGTGATGAGATAAATCGATGTTAATTAATTAATAATATTTATATCCAAACTTTTAGTTATATGTATATAAAATAGTTATCGTGAAACCAAGCTGAAATATTCTTCCACGTCCACTAGATACAGGGAGTCACTTTTAGCGTTCTTATTTCGTCCCTCGGTATTCGTTCCTTGCATCTTTCGTTCTTAATATCTCCCTCTGTTCTTATCTTCACGTTATCGCGTAAATGAAAATTTTTGGGTCCCCTTGCACTTTCTAAAGTTGCCGCCGTTAT